CCTGAAGATATTGTTGTAGATGGAGAAGAAAATGTTAAATTATATGATGTTGATGATGAACTTGAATTAATCGAATCGATATTGATTATCGATGGTAATGCACCCGAAAAAAGTGAAGTAGATGGCGGCGGCGGCGGTGGTGGTGGTCGTGGTGGAGGTACATTAACATAATCAGTTATTGCATTTGATGTATAAAAATGTGGTGGTAATGTTTGATCCATCTAAAGAAACAAGACTACTAGATTAAATAGTTTTATTTGTATTTTTCTCTAATTGATTACCTGTGAAAAATTTGGTGATGAAAATGAGAATTGATTCGAATTATTATTAGTTGGTGGCCACTTCAAATGTTGATGATGATAATGATGATCTGTTTGTGATAATGAAGACTGCCCATCTATTGATGTATTTAATAAACATCCATATGGAGTTAATGATTCAGAATGTTGTCGAAAAACATTCGTACTTTTTTTACGTTTTTTCCATTTAGCACGACGATTTTGAAACCAAACCTATTGAATACATTCTTGATGTTCAGAAGAAAATCAATTAAACAAAAAAAATATTTACTTGAACTCTTGATTCAGTCAAATCAATTCGTACTGCTAATTCTTCTCGCATGAAAATATCTGGATAATGTGTTTTACTAAATGATCTTTCAAGTTCATTCAATTGTGCTGGTGTAAAACGAGTTCGATGACGTTTTGGTTTAGCTATATTTGATGATGACGATGACGATGATGATGATGTTGTTGATAATCGAGTATTGTCATGAGAAGGTGATGATGAAGTTGTTGTTGTCGTCGTCGTTATTCTTGGTGAGGGAAAATGAGTATTATTATCAGTCGATGAGAATATTTGTGACGAAAGATGAACTCATAAAAAAAAGAAGAGACATCAAGTAGAAATAAATGAAAAAAAGAGGAAAAGTGTTTCCCACATATATATTTTTTTTAATATAAATACCTTGTTGAACATGTTTTTCATCCAATTTGATTAATTGTTGCTGACAATCATTATTTACATTGAACATATTGAAATTAAAGTATTAATTTTCTTATTTTAATTCAAACAGATGATCAATTTTTTTTCGGGTACTAGATTTTCATATAGTATCGAAAAAGAAGAATAAGAGGAAAAGTCATTCTTTTAATATTGTGTGTGACAATAAACTAATTCTCTCTATCTCTCTCTCTCTTTCAATTGACATTTCCGAGGCACCTGTTTTAAGCAGCCAATGATAATTTTTGACCAATAAATTTACGATATGCCTTGCAGCACATCCGTTACAGATAGGAAACATACACGCGACAATATCATTATCAGATTATCATAATTCCATAGAAGGCAATGAAGAAATCATCAAAGTTCTAATATAGCATGTTTGTGTAATAGAAATATGAATTTATTCATTTTTTTCATGGTACGGATATAATGTCAGACAGGAGATGAATTGATGATGCGAAAATGTATATATAAATCAAGCAATGCATTCATAAGTGAATAGAGAATAATCATTATTCAATAATACGAAGGATAGGAATTTCTTATTGAAAGTTTTCAAAAAAATGTTTAGATCGTATTTCAATTAGATAAAAACAATAACTATCTATACAATTGAGTTAATATGTCTGTTGTAATTCGAGATTTTATTACTATCATTGAATAAAATGTTTTGTAATTAATTGAATTTTTTCCACAAAAAGAAATTTAATATTCTAATATCAGTATGTTATTTATTTTTATTATTAAGAAACAAACAATTGTTAGCTATTTACAAACGTGTACGATATAATGATAAATCACTATCGTCGTCATCTTTATTAGTATTGAGATGATCAATTATTTGAGAAGAATCATCCGGTTGATAGATATCATCTAAAGTATTAATAAAATTTTCAAAGATTAAATATGAAATAATACATACGGAATGATCTCGCTTTTGTTCTTAACTTATTCCTTTTTGTTAATGTTCTATTACTAATCGACGATGTTGGTGTTGAAGTTAATGCATGATGAGAATGACGTCTCATAGAAGGTAGATGCTCGAGAGTTGATTGCCAAGTACCTATATCAGAACAATAGAAAACTTGAAGAAAAAGCAAATATCAAGTAGTAATTCATACCAACATCAATAATATGTTGCTGCAATGCTCGAATCCAATTATTTAATGTAAATACATCTTCAACAAAAAATTTTTCAATAGCAAAACCACGATTATAAACTGAAAATGATAAATCTTCACTATGTGGTAAAATAATTGTATCCTAATTTGAAATGAATAGAAAAAACCCTAGGATCAATATACGAAAATTATGTCTACCGATGTAATTGCTATAGAAAATCGATGTTGATCTGAATAATCATCTCGCATAATTTCTTCACCATTTAAAAATCCAGCAGTTAATGTACATGAATATTGTACATTATAGATTTTGACAATACCAGCAAATGTTGCTAAACGTGTATAACATAATGGTTGAGCGATGAAGCATGCAAGAAATGTTTCATTTATTGGTAATTGCATAAGCGGATTTTCTTGTGGACGTTCCATTTTTAAATAACGAACTTTGGGTAGTTTATTTATAGATTCTTTTGTAAATATTGTTTGAGCAATTAAAACAAATTTTGATTGTGATTCATTCGATGATTTTGACTAGAAATTGAATTGAATTGTTTTTTATTTTGATCAATTTAATTTACTTACATCTGTTGAAATTGTTTCTAATGTTTTTCGTCGTAATTTTGGTGAACCATGTGTTGAAAAATAACTATAACGATTAGCAAAATCTTTAACGGATGATGATAAAGCAATACGTTTATTTAATGCATAAATTTCTAAATGTAATTGAAAATTATGTGGAACATTATCACTAAAATTAAAAAATGTTTTTCTCATTTGAATATTTATAAAACATACAAAATAAGTTTATCGGGAAAATATATTTCAACTGTTTGCTTATCAATGTATTGTATAGTCGTATCAATTATTTCACATCCAATACGTGCCAAACAAAAGACAGCAAATGTTTTTTGTTCTAAAATTATATGTTCAAATTCTTATATTTATTTAAGAAGAAATTTCAACCTGATTTAGCTTTCATTTTTGTCCATATTAATGGTAAACGAATATCAGAAAGAATAATTGTTGCTTTTGTTGGTGTAAGGCTTAAGAAAGTAAAGAAAAACAATATTCTAATACATTAAATACATCAATATTCATACTTGATATTATCATGCTTAAGTAAATTTTCTTGTTTTCTTTGTAGTTCAGCCATATATGTTAACATCCGTTGTTGAGAAAGAATAAGAGCCTTATGACATTCAATTGTTTGTTCAAGTGTTGTAACTACATTAAGTAGTTTACTAATTCCATCTATGATCTTAATTTCACAATCAATTTTACGTTCCAATACTGGATCCTTTTATTTTATACAGATTGAATAAAAACAAAAATAACAATATTTAATTAATTTTATATTTAACATACCCAAATAAAAAATGATACAATTCGTTTTGAATTATTCATAATTTTCTATATTTGAAAACAAAAAAAAAAGTTAGTTATGATTCGCGTTAATTAATGAAAATAAAAAGAAATGAAGAATAACATAAGAGCAAAATGCTTCATATTCTTTTCTTCGTCTTTGATCTGTTTTGCCTTTCGTTTTGTTTTTAAATAAAAGTGACATGAGAAGAAGGCAAATATATATGTAATGTACGATGACTGTAAGAGTTTCATTGTACATGAAGTATGCTTGCGTTGATAGGTAGGCGGACAGGTATGTCTAAGAAATAAATCTTGATCGCTTTCATTTACCTTATATAAGTTTTTTATGACACACTGTTTCTCTTCAAATATAAATAGAGAGAGAGAGAGTGAGATTTTATATATATTCTCTTTTGATAAAGTAATGAAATAATAAATTCAACAATTTTAATCTTTATTTAGTTTTTATTATATAAAAAAAAGCAAACACATACATTTTTTATTTTAATAACAAAAACTTAAAAAATTGACATTTATAATAATAAGATAATATATATTATAATACGAAAATTTTCATTTTTAACGCATCATTATCCAGTTTATTCAAGAACTAAACAAAAAAAAATATCAATAGATTATACGATATTCGTATTTATTGCTTCTGTTTTTTTTTAATGTTAAATATTTTTTTTATTCTTTACAAAAAAAATGCTTTATAGTTAAATTATTTTACAAATACTTTTTCTTTTCGTGTATCAATATATTCATATTGATTTATGTTAATATAAAGAATGAATTAAATAGAGTTCAGTACAATTATAATTCTTTTTCTTTTTTATTGATCGTTCAAGACGGTTTATTCAAGGTTTTATAATAAATCATGATTTTTATATACTATATACTTTGTGATATTAATTCTTTTTTTTCCTCTTATATAATGCAAAAGAACACAAGGTAATGTGTATGTGACGGGCGTGACAAACAAAGAGTAAATAATAGCAGAAATAGTAATAATAATAATAATAATAATAATAATAATAGACAGACAGACAAAGAAAAACTTTTTTTCCCTATTTACACAAACATACAGGTACTTAGTACTATCAAATCGATAGTAAGGACGGCGCCGTTTTGTGTTTTCTTTTATCATTCACACGGGACAGTGTACATACATACTAGCGACCATTCAAAAGAACAAATCAGACAAATGAAAAAAGAACGAAAGAAAAAATGCAACTCGGGACTGATTTTGATCATTGTATGAAAGAAAAATCCGTAGATAGATATACAAGCACAGACATGAAAAAAACACAGTCTATTCTACACAATAAGACCTGGCAACAGAGAAACCATGAAATGGTCAAGATAAATGAGAGAAAGCGAAAAAGAAGTATCTGAGGAATGTACGATTGTAGGGACGGAAAGTAAATGGAAGCACGCGCACGTCGTTAGATTCAATGAAAAAAAAGAAAATGGAAATAAATGAAAATATTATCAGTTTATTTTTTGTTAATGTGGATGTTGTTGCTGTTGTTGTAACATTTCAACAAAGGCAGCATTTAAATTAAATGAAGTTGGTGATGATGGTACCATTGTTGGTGGAAAATTATTATTAGTATTATTATTTATATTAGTATTATTCGATAACGATGATAATGAATTCATTCGTTTAGTTGCTTGTAGAACTTGATGAGAATCAAGTAACATTTGAGTTTTAGGTGGTCGACCAGGACCACGTTTTTTTGTAGCCATTAATGGCATATCAAGTTCATTACCTCCGTCTCCATGTGATAATTTCGAAGCATTTGAAGGAACTGGTAAACTATGGCGTGTTTGTCCGGCTGACTGTTTAACCATTGATGCTGGTGCACCACTAAAATATTAAAATAAGTTTATATATATGTTAGTTTTTCTTAGATTCACAAAACTTACTTTCGAGCTGCTGGAGGAGGGATTATTGGTGGTGGTGGTATCGTTAAGCCACTCTGATGTCCGAGCATAGATGCTATTGCTGATTGTAATGTTGCTGATGATGTTCGTGCAGAATTTCCATTAACACTATTTTCAATTGCAGCAAAAAGTTGATCATATGGTGATGCATCAAGATCATGAGAAGATAGACCAGGAATTGCTCCTCGTTCAGTAACATATTTTGGTGGTCTACCACGACGTCTTGGCGCAAAATTACCACGTTCAAATGGCGAAGTATTTGCTGACGAATGAGATGTTGGTGGAATCATATTTGTACTTGAACGCATAATTTGTGGTTGTGTCTGTTGTTTTGGTGGACGACCAACTTTTTTTGGTATTGTACCTGGTGGTGTTAAACCAAGAAGTTGTTGTTTAAGTAATGATGAACCATCTTGATCATTTGTTTGTGCTGACATCATTAATTGTTGTGTCATTTGCCATAGTAGTTGTTGATGTTGTTGTTGTTGAAGTGATAATGGTGTCGTTGGTTGAGATAATGACGATGTATCTGATGTTTTTTGTCGTTTAGCTGATGGCGGAGAAGAAAATGACGATGATGATAGTGAATGTTTATGTTTGACTAATTGTTGTTGGGAATTTAAATGCATCATTTTAGTAAATTCATTAAATAATAGTGATGGATCTGAGACTTTTGTTGTTGTTGATGATGATGATAGAGATTGTTGAGAATGAGATTTCGATGATTTTGTGCTACAAAAAAAAAGTAAAGATTTTTATTATTCTATTTTTGTTTATATAAATTGACAAAAAAAAACGAAGTTTTTATTCAAATCCATAGAAAGTTTCATTGACAAATATATCCAAAAGATTACTATAAGGTTTCTTTACAAATTCAAATATTTTGTAGTAAATAAAACTTTTTTGTTTCATATAATCGATTGTAAATGAAATTTACATACATAAAGATTTAATAAATCTATTCGAATCTTTTTCTAGTAGAAATATAATTGTTATGCTTTATATTTTTTCGACAAATCGCAAATGTTTTTTTTATTCATAAATTGAATGAAAATCAATTTACCTGTTCGTTTGAGTAAAACCATTTGTATTAATTTTTCCATTCGTAAGTTTTTGTTCTTGTTTTTGTATTGATTTTGCGTAACCATTTGTTTGTGATTTATAATTTAAATGTCCATTAGTTTTACCATTAGTTATTCGTTGTTGTTGTTTAAAATTTCTTTGACGTTGTTCTCTTATATCTCGAACAATAGTTGTAACAATATCAGCTAAAAGATCATCAACAATTTCGAAAATATTTTCTTCATCATTATAACTATGATTATTATTATTATTTTCATCATATTCATCTTCATTATTCTCAATTAAATGTCTAGCTAATAAATCTAATTGAATACAATTTTGTTGTTTATTATCATGATGATCAAAATATTCATCTAGATGATTTTCATTATTTAAATCTTCATCATGCTGGTCATCTTCTTGATCGGATGTCAATATTGGTTGGTCATGATGATGTACACTTGTTGAAGTTTTAGGTAATGTTAATGGTAATAAACGTTGTTGTGGAGCTGGTGCTTTAATTATTTGTGGTGATAATTGTAAACGACGTGGTACGCCTTTTCGACGTCCACCACGTTCCGATTGAATTATTTGTTGTTGTTGTTGTGGAGGTGGTGGAGGCGGAGGTATAAGAATTTCTTGTTCATCTTGATTTTCTTCATCATCATCAATATCATCTTCTTCAATTTCATCTTCATCAATTTCATCTTCGGGATATTGTTGATTTTGATCATAGTCTTGTAATTCATCATCATCTAATTCATCTTCTTCATGTTCAACATCTTCATCAATGTCAATGGAATAATGATGTCCATTACTATTATTATTATTATTTAAAAAAGGTAATAACGATGGATCATCCATAAAGCAACAAAAAAAA